CTGAAAGGGCAAGCATGTTTGGTGTCATAAGGATTTGAACCCGCGACCCTCAGATTGCGAGTCAAGCGCCCTAACCACCTGGCTATGCCGGGCAAGATGCCTTGTAAATGGCAAATGTAGAGATGGATAAACTTTTATCAAATAGCGAGTAAAAAAAAGATGCGAGATGAAGAAGAGTATGACAATTTGGAGGAAGGGAGTAATGAATGGTCTAGTAGCAGTAAACCATTAATAAGCATCGATAAAGAGAAAGGGAAGGCTGATATAGGCTGGAAAGTTCGAGTCAGAAGGGACAAGACAAATCTCATGCATAAAAACAAAGAAGTTACACTTCAAAAAGATGAACATGTGGGGCTGACATAAAATAGCTCCCAAGGTGGAAGAGGCTCTCCATACATCAAGAGGTGCAAGAATGAAAACAACGACTGGGCCGGCCAAAGAAAAGCAAGCAGAAGGACCTGGCAAGGGGTGTCACAAACAAGACAAATAACCATGGGAAGTCAAAGAGAAGAATAATCATAAAGAAAATGAGTGATCCAATTCTGACTCACAGAATCTAGTGTTGGAACTGCAGAGAACAGGAATGGTGACCAGAAAGGAGGAAGTCTGGCATTGAGAGGATTTTCAAAGACATTGATGAGAGGATGCCAAAAGTAGGTAAAAACCCATTGAAATACCAGATGATGGAGAAACCATTACATGGGAAGAATCCAGTTGACCCACAGCCAGGTTCAAAGCTCCTGGTTCATGAAAGGCTAACAACTGAATGTGGTGGTTGCAGGCCATAAAAGAAAATCCAGAACTAGAAAGCAGAGGTCCAAAAATCAAGAGCTTCTTTGTCAGTAGACATAAAACACAACAATGGAGTTGTCTAAGTGGATCTTTACAAGATGACCAGACAAATGATAATGAAGATGATGCCAAGCTCAATGAGCAGCATGGAGAGTGTACATATCTCTGAGTTACAAATCCAAAACTGCCCCCCCCAACCAATAAGAAAGAGAGACATTGGTGAAAAGGTGCAGGTGTGAGTTTGGATGAAATGATGAAAGATGGATGCCCAGTGTCAATAAGAGCAAGTAAGCCACCATGAAGGCAAAATAGAGAAAAGAGATGGAGAGAGAGAAATACTAGAGATGACAAGGAATCTATACATATTTCCCTGATTAGCCAGATTCCACTGAAGAAGAGATGCATGCATGTGCCTCAGAGGAACAAGGAGCTCTTGCAACACCAGAACTCCCAAAAGCAGTGCAACCAACCTCTCGTGCAGGAAGAATAGGAGACATAAGAGCTTTAGCAAATGCAAGCTCCATATCATAAGCATTTAATGGAAATGACTAAGTCCACCCTACATAGGAGTTGAAAAAGACTCCCAGGTATGTCTGATAATGTGTGGGGGTCAAGACAGACTTGGAGAACTTGACCAGCCAGCTCAAATGAGACATCTCCTGAAGGAGGATTGGATGGGGGTGGGTGAAGGTGAAATCACCACATGGAAGATTCCTGTGACTAAGCAAGAAGGAGCTAATTGCCCATATAGTTGTGGAAATGAAGACCTAAGGAATGCACCTGACATGTGAATGCTCTTGCCATCTGATTGAAAACATACAGGAGTATAGACCTTCTCCAGAACTGAAAATTTCTATTGAATGAACAAACTAAACAAAACAATCCAAAACATTGACTTTGGTCAGCTATAACTCAGGAGAGAATACCCACCTCATATTGTGAAAATCATCCATCTTGAACTGAGAAATGATAAGAAAGTGGTTCAAGGATGAAAGATCTATGACGGGGTACCAATCGTCCATTTTCTTGAACACGACAAAAAGACAGGAATATAAACATGTAGAGAAGATACAGCCTCTTTTAGGTGCTTTTAGGAATCTGAGAGGGATGGAAAGACAACTGAAAAAGGAAAAAAAGGAGGTTCAATATGAAAATTATTGAAAAACCATGAGAAAATGCCTTGTAACCCAAAGACTGTCTGAAAAGAGAGTCCACAGGTGCATAAAAAGGGAAACCCATACTCCCAATTGACCATAGCCAGTTCTGGCTCAAAAAGCAAGTAGAGTCTCTAAGACAAGGCAAAGTGTAGACAAAGAGCTGAGTCAAAGTAAAATGAAGATGATCATACTGAAGATGAGTAAGAGACAGAGTAGGAGCCCCAAACTGGAAGGAGAGATTCAAGTGACTGAATCTCAAGGAAATTAGAAGAATAGTGACTATAAGCCATAGAGAAAATGTAATGAAGTGAAGGAGGAAGAGACAGAATAGAACTAACCACCTGTTGTACAATGGCAGTAACATCTTTGACTGTCAGGGTGCCTTTATTCACCACTGAAATTGCAGGAGTACATTCCTTTAAGTGGAGTGCCAGAACCTCAAGAGGCAGTAGGAATGTGAATATAGAAATTTATGGTTAAAAAAATCTACAAAATGTCTTCTTTGGTTATTTGGATTAGTCATAAGTCAAGTTAACAGTAAAAGTAATGTAGAAATAAGAAGAGTGAGATGATAAGATTTAACTGAAAGTTAAAGGGAAAAAGGAAATATACTGCGGTTGTAAAAACAAAGACACAAATTTGTTGGGCATGTCTCAAGGCAAATGGTGTCAAGAAAATAATTAGTCTTTCTTCAACTGCTAGTTCTCCTGGGAATTACTGCACATGGAGAATGTGTTGTCCTTCTATTGATGGATGGCTAATACAAATGTAGGGTTTGGGGCTTCATTCCAAGCTTGTAGCATGTGCAAAAATATCCATGGCAGTGGTGTAAGGTAATAGCTCTTTGTTGTGCAGAGAAGTAAGTAAACATTTCTGAAAAATGGTCATCACTTATTTTAGTAATCACATTATACCATTAGCCCTCATCAGCACACCTTTGAAAAGTTACATTATGGAACACCTGGGGTCTAACCAGACCCCAGCAAAAATTACCTTTGTAGTAAGATCTGGATTAAAATTCCAAAAACCGACTGCATGACAACTTTTAGTAGAGTTAGCATGCAATGTGAACAACATAAAAATATAGGTATTCTAGATGAAATAATTTGAGAAATCAAGAAATTACATTGTTCCTAGTATACAAATAAGTAGTATTAAACCATTCCTTATACAAACAGTGTATCCAAAAATGCCAAAGTTTTATTAAACTCCTATATTCAATCATTATTCAACAATATATGATGAGATTTCCCCAATACTGCAAAATTCAACTCATAGAAAACTGAAAATGTTCATTGTGAGTTACCCTGGGTCTGATTAGACACATGGTTGAAATTCTCAAAAGAGTAGAGGTAAAAAGAAGAAAAAATCTATGTGTAAACATAAAAAACAACAATTTGAGTGTCAATAAATAATTGTTTTCTGATGGAACAATGGAGCACACAAACATCCAAAAAAAAGCAGATCAATTAGGCCCTGATACTAGTACTGCCTCGAAACATAAGTTCCAGTACTCGGTACCAATGAGTATTGGCAGAATTTCACATTTGAAAAGACCCCAGCACAAATGTATCTTTATAGTAGACTATGGATTGAAAATCCAATAAGCAGATTATTTACAACAATTATCAAAAAAAGGTTTCAATAAAATAGGGCATTATAAGCAGTCATCATAGAGAACACTTGTTGAGGAATGAGTTGTGCATACATGCTTACCACAATGATATTATATGCAAACAGACAAGATGATACTGTAGTACTTTGATGGATTATCTTCTACAACAGCCTATATAGTGAAATAAATGTTTAGAAATGGTCAATGTTATTATGAGGTCCACATAGACACCAGATAAAAATTAGATTATAGCTGCATACTCCATCTGCCTGTTTTGAAAACAATAGTGACAAATTGATCTTGAGTTTCTGCTTGACAATTACATGAATTGATATAAATTTGCAATGATTATGTAAAAAGATGTACAACTGAGAAAGTTGTTGGGGTTCATATAGACCCCAGGTGTGCTGAAGAGGGTTAAACATTTTTTAATTTTTGAAAAAACTAGTTGAAATTATCTCCACCATAAAAACTACTGAAAATAACTTAATATTTTTTTGACCTTTTAATAGCCCAATCAGACTTGGACAATTTGACCAATTTACTGTCTTCTAGCACATGTACTATTCAGAAATTATTATTCTTCCTTTTTAAACTCCAGCGAGCCATGTTTCTTTGCCAACATTTCTAAAGAAGATTATGCCATGATCATGAAAGAAAAAAAAAAAAGATTGAGCAGTCTTTCGTTTTTAGTAAATATATTTTCTAATTGTAATTTTTTTTCTATTGTCCATTCTTTTTACTTACTGTCCTTTTAAATTTTTTCTTTACTGTTGTCCTTCTGACAAAGTCATCTTTAATAAACTATATTTTATATACATGATAACTTAAAATGTAATTTATATAACCATCCATTACCTTTTTTGAATTCTTCCAAGAGTACATCCAATGTTTCATCTTCAAACACATAGTTGATTGGATGGTTATAAAACTCGCAAAGAGTTCTGACTGGTGTGTTGTCTTCAGGATCCACAAAAGCTAAATCCTTAGTAAACAGGAGAGAGACAATGTTGTTTCTGACTCCATCATAAACTGGAATGCGAGTGTATCCCTTTTTTAAAATTGCAGACATTGTTTCAAAGTCCAAAATGCTGTCATTTGGAATCATGAATACATCTTCTATCTTGGTCATGACTTGAGATGCTGTCTTCTTTTTCAGTTCAAGAGCACCAGAGATAATATTAACCTCTTCATTTTCTAACTTGTTATAAGCCATGGTTACTTTAATGTATTCGATCAATTTCTCCCGATCATACACATTGCCTATCTCCTCACCCAGAATCCAATCTAAGATCTTGCTGATAGGGAATGATAATGGAAATGTTACAAGCATAAAAAACTTTGTGAGCAATACTGTTCTTGCACCAACAGCAAGTCCATGACGGGAACAAATTGCCTGTGGAATTATCTCACCAAATACAACAATACTAATAGTTGATCCAATTACAGCAATGAGCCCCGATGAAATGCTGTCTAGTAATATAGTTAAGCTGCTGTTCACCAACACATTACCAAGCAGTAAAGAACAAAGCAGATAATTTCCTCTAGACCGTAATGGAGAAATTGATCGTGCATATTTTTTCTCTTTTGATGAACCTACACTTTCAATAACCTTTAGCTCTGTCTTATCTAGGGCCATTAAACCTAAATTTAAACCACTAAACAACCCAGACAAAACAAGAAGAACTATTATGAAACAGATCTGTAACCAAAGGGGAAGAACACTACTTTCTGTCTGGATGCGCATCCAAGGGTCATCTCCTTGATGAATCCAATATCCTGCATGGTTAGGTTCTTGATTATCATTCACACAAATATAATAGTAGTCATCTGCAGATTCCATATCTGGTAGAGTAACGCTAAGAAAAATTGCATTGTTGTTTAAGAATCCTTCTTCTTGTAGGTATACTACCTTTGTGGTTGATAAATAATTACAGTTACTGCCTTTTTTCTGCTTGATGGTTGTAAATCGTATAGCGGTGAGTTTTGTAAAATTTGCTCCAAAGAACCGCAATACAATCTCTTGGTTGGCTGGAATAAGTGTGGCTCCATTAGGTGATACAGACACCTTGTTTCCCTCTCCTCTCAATCCAGCAACCAGAGCTGGTAGCGAGTGCTCCACTCTGGAATTTAACATTTTTCCATATCAATTATTCTTACTAGTATATGCTTAAAAATATACATGTATACATACAAAATAAATATTACTCTAACATGTACATGACTTAAGTTAGGTTCAATTTGGAGTATTGTGTACAGTTTGAGTCCTTTATCTGGTGAAGGATATAGGAGTTGTTGAAGAGAGTTCATAATATCACTACTAAATTGATTCCAGAAATGGACAGTTTTGGTTTGTCACAGAAGACAGGATGAGATCCCTTAACTTGCTCTCTCTAAGGGGTGATCTAAATGAAATATTTAAATTATTATGGGAATTGATACAATTAATGCAACAGATTTATGTGTGTTTGTGTTAATTTTCACAGTAGTAGAGTAAAAAATAATCAATTTAGGATTTGTAAAATCCAAAAATAACTCCAGTTGAGGGATTTTTATTTCTCCAGTAGAGTTGTAAAGGAGTTTAAGAAAAATGTTGATGAGTAGTTGGGATGATTAGGGATAAATTTAGAGATTGATATAATGAGAGATGTTGGGAGTTAGGCCACCCTTGATGGCCAAAAGGTTTCTTGAAGTCCTATACTTTATAATCAGATTTCAAATTAACTACTAATCATGTATGTTCTCCAAAACTGAAAAATCTCATGGAGGTTATCAACACACTGATGAAACTCTATTAGTGTAAAAATATACTAGGAACAATTGGCATTTAATAAATCTTAAATGTTCCTGTTAAAAAACAAATCTGCATGTATCAATGAATATTCACCTTCACAAAAGGTATAAAGTTTTCCTATTTAAAACCATACATGAAATTCTGAGAACATGAAAGCTTTAAGTCAAATAAAATTACTCTAGAAACATGGGAAAAGTAGAAGAACAATGCCAAAAATGATTCTTAGGAGACTTTACTATTTATGAACAGGAGACTGTTCAACAGTTGCAAATCACACAGTAATATTGTAAACTGTTTCTTCTAACAAGTTTTAACTGTCCTGGAGACCAGAATTTGTTTTAAAAAAGTAGGTAGTAATGTACTACAAATTTGACTGATTCATACACAATGTGTTTAAATGGTGTCATCAAATGACACAGTGCTTAGATAAACCCTGACAAAAGTACTATCCCTCACACTTTATTGCAATTTTTATAATGTGTTGCAACTTGTCAAACAGTAAATTTATACTAAATGATGGCCTACATTAAACAGCATATGAAATAACATAAACAGAGTGATTAAAACCTGAATAATGATTAACCATGAAGCTCAGTGTTTCATAACTTTCACAAATAATGTAAAATAGATTTAGATGCAATATTTTTTCATTTCATAGGTCAGTAAGTTAAAGCAGAATTCTCATTAGTCCTTTAAGTTTATAATTCAACAACCAAGTTACAGTTAAATCAGAACCTTCATTTGCATTTCAGTTCATAGCTCAGTAATGAAGTTGTAGTGAAATCATAATCCTGAATGTTTTGAACAAAATAATAATAAAATGTAACTGTTGTTCTGAATCTATAAATCAAAATTATGGAACTAGGCATATAATTTTTTTAATAATTCTTATTTCTTAAATAACTCATAGTTTCATTAAAATTTTGGAGTCATTTGTGTCCAAGTCAAAGCCCATGATACTACAGCATAGTAAAAAATTATGTTACTAATAATTTCTAACTTTACAACTATACTAATTTCTTATTCAAACTACCTCCAATGGATATCTAAAACGTATTTTTCTAAAATGCTAATGATTTGTATTTTAGTTGAATTTATGAAAAAAAGTGTAATTAACTCGTCATTTACAGGATTTTGCAACTACTTCTGATTAGTTATTTATTCAAATATAGTCTGCATAAAGATATTTTTACCCCTTTTCCAATTCCTTATCAGTATTTCCATACTCAATTTTTTCTGTATCTTAGAAGTATGATATGCCTATAGGTGTAGAGCCGAGTAATTTAATAAATTACCAATAAACAATGATCACATTGATTAGTGTTATGTAAGCTATTCAATTAATAAAAAAATTATGGTTAATTAAATTAATATCACAAAAATAATCATCTATTCAAAATCAGGGTTTCAGATTGTTCCATAAATCCAAGTAATTGAAATATTCCCATTACGTTTGTTAAGCACAATGGGCTATCTTTGTTCTGTCTGCTGTGGTATCAAAATGATAAATTTATAAATTTGTTCTTTTGACTTCAGCTATGTTCATTGTATTCACATAAGACAAGCATGGCCTTGTGAATTACAAGAGGGTTCACAATTTGAGGGTCTTGAGAGTTCAATTCCCATTGCCACCAAACTTGCTTATTCTGTCTTTGTTATAATTAAGCTACTACGATTATCTACCACTGGCACTAATTTTGAACTGCTGACTAGAGAGAAGGCAACTGGTTGGCAGAAGTTATTGCCAACCCTTTGGCTACTTAGGTGTTAAATAAAATGTAAATTTACTATTTTTTACATTATATTATGTTTCTATTTACAATTGTCTAAGTCCACTTTTTTCAGTAATTATTAAGTATTCTTTAATGTTGCATAAGAAGGTGTGGATCTAGGGAAGGGATCCAAGGAATATAAATCCCACATCCACCATTTTTTCTCAGAAAGAAATAAGTACATTCTTTAAAATGTAAAAGCAGGCATGAATCTAGGGGGAGTTGCAGGTGTTCCCAACATACAGAACAAAATTATACTTTCTTTAGATATGCATTCAGTATTTCTATTGATACAAACTAAAATTCTATTTGTACTACCACTACTTGAATGGCTTAAGAAACTGATCAATCAGAACACCAAGATCCTTTTCTTAGGTAACGCTGTTAAGGTTACTCTCATAAAAATTATACTTATAATTCAAACTATGATAATGCACACGTATTACCTTGCAGTTAGTACAATTAACCCTATCATGACGGGTCACGTGTGAAAGGCCATGTCATCGCATTTGTTGACTTGCATTCAAAATTTTATTGAACTACTGTTTTATGAATCTATGTCAATAAGTAGATTATAATTCAAATTTTAGAATTATACATTAGTTCATTTCTTAATTTAAAAGCAAGTATTAAAAAAACACAGCTAAACATTGACTTTTGTAGTCACATGGTATGTTGAATGCAGCACTTAGATATTTGTGATGTCAAAATACAAAATCTACAGTTTCGTACAAATTAGGAATGCAAACTACTGATGTTAACTACAATATAAAATATGAACCTCTTTATCTTTTCTATTTGCTAAGATATCATTCCTGCACTGAATCAAACACAGTGGTCCCCCGCCCAACTTTTTCCATTTCTTGAATCGGTCCCTTATATACACTAACTTCTATATATGACATGAATAACCAATCAAAAGCTCAGAATGTCCCCTTTAGTGGTTTTCTCAGCCATTGTGACGTGTTACTGTGCAAATTTCATTCTTTTCACACAAGATTTCAAGTGATGAGGTAAGGCTTTAGTGAGTTCAAAATTTCATATTTTTCTAGACCCAAATACAGCTTAGTTACTACACTTGATAAATTATAGTGGAATCCTATGGTTTCAATATTGTAATTTATTATTTTTTGATTATTTAAAATGTATATATAAAAGCTAAAAAATTTCTTTTCACATCCTCCATGTGGGCAATTTCATAAGGCTTAGCAACCTATGACAAGCGACAAATGAGCACAAAGGTCGTAACTAGAAGAGATAATTGTTTGCTTTACTTCTTTATTTACTGTTCTATGTTTTAAGAAAAATAAATTTAAAAACTTGTTTCTGAATAGCAATAACCTATATACATATACAATGTATATTAATTGAAATGTTACTGTATTTTACAAAATACTAGTCCACTAAAACACAACCAAGACAGGTCACTTTGTAAAGGCTAAAGGTCAGTTATATATTATTGGATAAGGTAACACGGGTGCATGTGCACCACATCATTGTAACTTCTGTATTGTTAACCAGGCATGACTGGAAGGTCAATGTAATAAAAATAATAAATATATATAAATGTATAATGTTATGAGATTTAAGCTATTTAGACTAAAAATTTGTGTTTTTGTGTTATAAACTGTAGTCATCATTCTAGAACCAAAAAAGCATAATTTATATTTTTTTCCTAATTTTTTATTGAGGTTACGAAGTCGGTGAAATCGAACCAACTCGTACAGAAATACAGTAGTGAAAATAACAAATAAAATATAAAGTTTTTTTCTACAAAAAATTTGATATTTATCTGGAGATTATAGAGATTTTGCATGTGAAATTTGAAAATGTTCTAATGCATTAAAGTACTTTTAATCTTAAAATCAAAATTTTATAGTAAACATTCTGAAAGAAAAAGGTTTACGAGAAAATCGTTAATTAAAAAATCTTAATACCTAATTTAAAAACCTGATATTTTGTGTACAAAAACCTTGTAATGTTTAGCAATAACCTGCAAAATTTTGTAAAGATGTGCATACACTATCAAGAATGATATTATAATTACTTTCATGGATACTTTCGTGGTTACGAGCTGGGTGAATTCCACCTACCCCGTAATGGAAGGGTTAAAACTTTTACTCTTGACTAATGAAAACATTTATGACAAATGCTTTAAAATTAGCGTGTGTCAGAGATACTCATATTAATTTGTAAGGATGAACAGATTGACTGGTCAGACTTACATGATCAAATCAATAGAAAAATACGGAATGGACAGTTTATATTTAAATAGGGTAGAGGCTAGCATGCTTACAAGGCCTATTAACTCAACCATAATGGCAGCTTTAAACTAGAACTAGAGAGTGGTGAGGGTCAGAATAAATAAATACAGAAAAAATAAGATTTAGAAAAAAATGTGTAGTGTACAAAGTGCAGAAATAATTAAAAGATTAGACTAAATTGTTACTATTATGACGCTGGAATAACAAGTCTTGAAAAGTGAACACATTATTGTTGCAACAGGTAATGACTGAATAAATCTTTTGTTGTTTCTAAACATTAAACAATACATAGCATGCCTTGTCTGATACATTTTCAGGTTCAAAGTTTAGGATTCAAAAGTAACTTAATTGAAATTATTGTACATGAAGTCTGAAGACAATGTTTACACCTTATAAGTTTTTGAGACACAAATTTCAATCAATTTTATATGTTAATTCTAATTATATTCCCCACTAGTAATTTCTCAGGATCTGGAATACGGCTCACATCATATCTAGCAAAACCTGAAGAAACATTTAGCAACTCGGTTATTCCATAATCAGCATTCTTCAAATGCCCTCTTCCCATTTTACCATTATGCTTACATTAATGCATTTATAGAAATCCTTGTTAGTTTTACAATTTTCAACTGAACTTTTTCTCCATATGCTTTTCAACATCTTTTTTGACCAACTCTCTTGATATTTTATAATCCTCCAAATTTTTCATCTTAGTAGTTAAACTTTTTAAGTTTCTAATGTTTATCTTTAATTTTCTTCCTAATACTTCTAGTGAGCCACCCTAATCTATTATATTTGCAGCTTTTCATTTTTACTTCTGTGGAAAATATACATCTTGAATATTTAACAATTTATTTTTTAAAATCTCCAACATCTAATAAGCATCTTCATTTAACTCAGTATTCCAAATAATCAATTCCTGTATCATCCCTTCAAAATTAGCCTTTCCAAAATTAGGAACTAAAATACTATTAAATTTTGAATTTAATAAGAGTTAAGAAGATTACTATCATTATACACAAGAATCTGGTAAACCCTGTTGGGAACAGTATACTTAGCAGTGATCCCCTTACTACAGGAGGTCAGAATTTGTTAGAACTGTTACATGATAAAGTCCAGGCTGATGATTTGAATTCATTTATGTTTCTCTTGGATGGATAAATGTAATATGAATGTGACTGAATTCAAGTTTAACTAAACTTCTGTTTAGTTTTCTGAATCTTAATAAATAGCAAAAAAGTGTCAAAGTCAGGAAAACAAATGAATAGTAGTTTTAAAACAATGTAATGTACTAAAAAACATCAAAATATTTCACATATACAAGGATATGAAAATCAAAGTTCAATAATTATAGATGGAGTCTACTAATTACGGTCAACAATCTTCAAGAAATGCCAAAAAAAAGTAACCAACCCATAGGTTCAACATTCCTTTCTATCATTACTGTTAATATTTAAGAATATATATTACACAGTTCCCATACACTATGCTCTTACAGACTGTGACTTGCATAAACTGGGAAGGCCCATGCAAGTGGGGCTAATACAGAAATGCAATGTAAAGCCAATAAGTATAAAAATCATTCAGATTTAGAAATCTTTATTTTAACCAAACACCAGTTAAATCATAAAAGTCCAATAAATATCCCCACTTCTCATCACTTGTAAATGCAGTTACATCCCTTGATCAATATGGTGGATCTCTTGCACCATTGTACTTTACACTTTGGCATGCTAGTTTCATATCCATAAATATGTGAAATATTTTGATATTTCTCAGAAAATTAGCATGTTTTAAAACTATTACTCTCATTCACTGACTTCTTACTAAAAATTTATTATCACTAATCATTTATTATTTTTATAGCTTGTGAATTACAGCTATCTTTACAAGCTATTCTAATCTTTACCATTTTAATAAAATATAAAATTTAACCTACCTTCAAAATAATATAAAATTGCCTAATTTGTGTGCAAAAACTTATTGTCAACTAATGTAAAAAATCTGAATGTCACAAGACTCACAACTTGAGCAATCATCACAACATCAATTCCAAAATGGTCGTATTATTTATAATATCACATGTGACTTAAACAACAAAAACAAACCTTCTTACTGTCACTATATCGACACAAACATTACTTCAACTTTTCAAATTTCAAATAAGTATGATACATATATGAACAAACTAATCATTTTCCTTTCCATATACTGACACAGTTATTGAGTAATCGTAGTCATGTGAATCTTAGCTTCGTGTACCAACAATATAACTTAGAAGATACGTACTCTACTTACTAAGTTACCTAGGTTTACTCAATAGTCAATTACTGTTGTGAGTTTGCTTATTATGCGGTTTAGAGCTCTTACCTATTTACACTGCCGCTGGCAGAGTCATTAAAACTTTCTTTACCATTCACAAGCGCTTCGCCGGCAGTTTCTTTCAAAGTTTGGCTTGTAACATCAGAGTAAATTACAAAAATAAGAAGCAACGACAAATAGATCTTTCTACACAACCACAAGTGAGACGCCATATTCTCGTTAACCAAACAAATATTGCACGCATGCTTCGTGAATTTAAAGCTACGTAAATTGACAGCTGATTCCACTGCATGGCGCTACCAACGGCGATTTTGTAGTTATTTAATGGGAAAAGTACTGGTGTTCAAACGTTACAGTATAGCATAATAAAGATTTGTTTGTTATGAATTTCGCGCAAAGCTACACGAGAGCTATCTGCGCTAGCTGACCCTAATTTAGCAGTGTAAGACTAGAGGGAAGGCAGCTAGTCATCAACACCCACCGCCAACTCTGGGCTACTCTTTTACCAACGAGAAGTGGAATTGACCATCACATTATACCGACCCCACGGCTTAAAGGGCGAGTATGTTTGGTGTGACGGGGATTCGAACCCGCGACCCTCCAATTGCAAGTCGAGCACCCTAACCACCTGGCCATGCCGGGCCATAATAAAGATTGTTAGCAACTTCGAAGTTCACTGATGATAATTCAAAGTTAGGACCAGGCTTTCTTAAGTGTCTAATTTAATGTCGCAAGTGTTTTGGGGCTAATTTCTCTGAGTACGTACTTACACAAACATATGATAATTTCTAAATGATAGACGATGGACAGAGCTTTCCAAACATGTATAATATGCTCATTTTGTGTTAAGGTTTTCTAGTAAACCAAGGAAATAAACAATGGCGGGGTGTTAAAAGTAGCATGTCACCAGCAGAAAAAATTAATAACACAAACACAAAAGTTGTAAGTATGACTCAAGCCTTTATTGTGATTAATTAGTAAACATTTATGCTTTGAAAATTTGTTATTAGCTGATTATTCCCTTACGTTTTCACATATAAAAATATCCAAAATAACATGTCGTCGTAATCATGTGTTCTCCTTTACGGTTGTTTGTTTTCAAGACAATTGATCATACAACAAACACAAGATATCAAGAGATATTTTGGGTATGTAACCGTATGCCCATTTGGAGCTTGTAATAAAATTACTTTTTCAAGCACGTAATCTCCTTTACGCATAGATCTAGTGTAGATACTCAAATTATGTCATTTTGTTATATCGTTATACACAACAGCCAAGACATTTGTTGTTACCGGTTACTGAAAGGGTAAGAGTAAATTGCATTCTTCAATAAAAATCACTAAACATGAAATTGCGTGAACTCCTTTACGTGTTCTCCTTTATAGTTTATTTCAGTTTTACTTTAGAGGAGAATATATAGTATGCATAACGCTTTTTCCGCCATATTTAATTTCAACCATGTACAGATGATTAGGGTAGGGTGTATTTGAAATTTGTTAGTCACAAATCAACGCATTTTCCCGCAAGAAAAGTCATTGAAAGTTGGATTACATAACAGCAGTGTATCTCTTTAACTTTATAATTAACATTCAAATGGTGTGAGCGGTAATAGTTTTAGGTTTAAATGACTGATAAAATACAAAGCTAATCTGTGAGCGAGAATTAGGGGTCTATTTATAAAAACATATAATTGGGAACATGGTGAGATGCATGTAAAGGAGTTAACAGAATGGGTAAAGGAGATCACCATTTTAATTCAACTCCTTATACATGCTTTGCTCTTAGTATAATACCATATTATAATAAAAGCTTACGTTTATGATCTGTGGAAGTAGTTTAATACAAAATGAATATTCTTATTATCCTGCTATAGCTGGATTTACTGAAATAATGTAAAGGAGATCACATTAATTTCTACATCTGTCTTTGCTAATATACAGAGGTGGTATGCATTTCGGTGATGGGTTTCATATTTGTATTTTTAGAATAAATGTTAAACAATGTCGCCGCTGAAATATTATCAGAGAAAAAAGGCAGCAGAAAGGAAA